AAGGACAGGTCGGAGCACCCTGTGGAAGGTGCGGTGCTAGGGAACTGGAATATCCCTAAATTCCCTTCCAGCCCGAACCAATCTGTAATTCTATAATTCTGTCTTAAACCCCGCAACAGACCCAGGTGCTCCTCATCGGTGTGTTCACTAGTGCAACACCTTGGTACACACCATAAACACCTCCATGAATATCCTGTTTTTCTTTCCATTTGGAGGGAAAAAAGGAACAGCAGTCAGGGCTTGGATTGAGGATTTAGGGCCGCTGGCACTGTTTTGTGCTTGTCCAGGAGACAACAATCACCCCACACATTCCCCAGTGCCCTGATTTCATCTCCTGCAAGTGTGGTGAGGCAGCAACAAACAGCACAGAGAGAACACAGGCAGCACCCAGACTCGCAGGCCTGTGCTCTGTCCCCGGGCTTTGCTCCAGAACAATGACTAAAGCATCAAACACATCTGGATTTATTTGTTTTATTAAAAGGCTTGGCTGTTCGCTGCAGGGAGAACGGCCTGGTACCAGTTTCTCCAGTAACACACTGGGCACAGCAGAGACAGGACACAACACCCACCACGGCTCCTCTGTCAGCACAAATGCTTCCAGCATCCCCACAGAGGAGGAAGGAAGGTGGACACAGTGGCCAGCCCACAGCAGGCTCTGGACAGGAGGCTAAACCAAGCAAACTGCTGGCCTTTTTCACCATTAGAGAAGTCACTGCCCTTCAGCTGCAATGGGGATATTCCCTCAGCTCCCTTCCGTGTCCAGCTGACCCTGTGCACGCCCCCACAGCGCTGCTTTGGTGGAGGATGGGAAGACAAAACTGCCGTGGGGGTTACAGTGACATTTCCTCTGCTACCAGCTTGATTTACCAGCCTGTCCTCTCTCCTACTGGCCATTGTTTTGGTGAGCCAAAGAGCAATCTGTTCAAACATAATTTAAGAAACAAAACAACCTGATCACAGCCAAGCTGGCGGGATGAGCCCACCTGTGGGGCAGGTAGGTGCTGTCCTGCAGTGCTGCCTGGCGAGCCCTGCTCCCTGTGGGCTGGCAGCGTGCCTGTAAACCAGTGCTGGAGCAGTGCTGAGTGACACAGAGCTGCCTCTGCCCTCCCCTCCTGCTCTGAGCTGCACCCAGACCCCTCAGTCCTCATCAGAGCTGTCCTCAGATTTCTCATCCCCCGCCACCTTCCAGTTCTTCCTCTTGCTCCTCTTCTCGGGCACCTCGCTCGGCCTCTCGGGCACGGAGCTGTGCCGCTTCTTCCTCTTCCTCGGGGGCCGCTTCTCCTTTCTCCCCTCGGACTCGGTGTCCTCAGAGCTGCTGGTGCTGGAGCTGCTTGCATGGCAACAGTCACTCTCCTGCCCAGAAGAAGAGGTAGGTTCCTTGGCAGGCACTTTCCTGGGCTTTTTCTTGCGCTTGTGTTTTCCTTTGCGGGCGCTCGGAGTCTCCTCTCCTGAGCCCTCGCTCTCCCCCCGGGAGGAATCTGTGGAACTTCTCTCCTGCTCCTTTTTCTTTTTCTTCCTCTTTTTGTGTGAGCGCTTTTTTTGCTTCTTCTTGTGGGATTTCTTGGTTTTTTTCCTTTTGTGGGACTCACGGGCTGTTTGTTTCCCCAGGTGGGATCTCTTCTTCCCATTGACAGCGTTTTGCTCCTCTCCTTCCTGCTGATCACTGGGAAAAGAACAGAGAGAGGTGAACTGGAAGCCACTGAGTGATGAAACTCATTTACATCCAATCTGTAAGCCTGAAAAATATTGATGATTCTGCTGGGTGTAGGTTAAAAATAATTAATTCTTAAAATCTTGTTTTTCCACTGTCTAGGATGCTGCAAGAATTTATTTACCTCCCAGACTCATTGATTTTGGTAACTCCAGCTAAACCTGACTATCTTAACTAATACAAAAGATTCTCTGAAGACTCACACCACGTTAATGGATTGGAGTTTTTTAACAGTAAGGCTTTGCAGTCAAGGTTGATTTATATTCAAAATTCAAAACTCAGTTTGTAAAATTCCCTGCAGAACTTGTCAGAAGGCAGATTCTGGACCCATCAGTAAGGGTGTCTGCCTTACCTGTCTGTGTCAAATTCTTCAGGGTACAACTCTTTGTATCCACTGTGCCCCCACCTGCAAGAAAGCAGAACCATCCATTAAAAACACACAATGTGTTTGATGATAAAAATGCAATTCTGAAAAGGCAGAGCCACAGAATGAATCTGAGTTTAGACAGGAAGGAAATAGGACCGATTTGCTTGATGCTATTTAAATACACCTTATATTCTCAAACCACAACTCTGATTCCTTAAATCCAACCCTAGAATGGTGTTTCTTGAGATTTCTTTAAGCTTATTGGGCAGAGTAATAAATATTAAGCTTAGGGCTGGGCTTTTGCTGCTTAGTGTGGCTTAGAAATTCCACAGATGAGCTCAAATTGGTTATTCTGTGACATGGCAGAAGTTTGTACATGTTATTCATTCTCAAAATGAGCTGAAGCTCTATTTCATCACAGCACACACCAAACAGAAACATGTCATTTTTTGGTACAGGGCTCCAAAAAGATGTTTTAATCACAATCCCAGAGCACAGAATTCCCCCACAGACCTGTCTGGCATGTTGGCTTCACATTCATACAGCTTTTTATTCCAGGATCTGGCCCTGAGGAGATCATCTTCCACCAGGTCAAGGAGCTGTGGGTTCCTGGGTTTCCAGTCTGCCCTGTGCCCCTCCTCGTCGAAGCCGTCGCTGCGCATGCGGCTGCTGGAGAGGGAACGGCTCCTTCAGGTGGGGAGCACCTCCCAGAGCCCCCCAAAATCCTCATTCACCCCCTCATTCACCCCCTCATTCACCCAGCACCTCCAGCATGTCACATCTCAATCAACACACTGAGATCAGGCTCAAGCTGAGGCCCGAGCTCTTTGCAGGGAGTTGTTAAGGAGAAAATCAACATTTCTGTGGTGTATCTCACCTGGAGGTGTCTGACAGCATTCTGCTCTGCCTTTTCCAGTAAGTCTCTTCTGTCTGCTTCTCCCACTCCCTTATCTTCCACATTTCTGTCTCTTCCTGAAGCTGAAAGTCACAGGAAGGGAAATGAGTTGAACATCATGGGAAATTCACAGTTATGCAGCACTCACCTCAACACTCCCGGTAAGGAAACTCACAGCCACCTTTCTTACCATCCCCAAACAAAGGATTATTTACCCATATCTGTACCCCAAACAGAACTTCCTGGTGCTGGTTAGACCTGCTGAATTATGATTCATGAAACAGTTTGCTAAACTTAATGGAGTTGCTTAACCTTGCACTAAAATCCTGCCTGTGCAAACAAAGTTCAAATTGTTTCATGCAATTAAAAGCACATACGCAGGGCAACAAATAAAATACAACAAAGCCTATTCGAGATTTGCTACTTTTTAAGTAAACACAGACATATTGGGGTGAAACCGAAACTGGGGGAAAACCGGAACAGCGTTAAACCAGAAGTGACCCGGAGGATGTGGCGGATTTACCAAAC